GAGGTCATGGGTTCTCCTTCACATGGCCGAAAGGCGGGAGTTGTAATCTTGCTGCACAAGGCTCTCTCGTATACTATACTTTCAACAGATAATGATGCTGAGGGGCGCCTTGTAAAAGTTTGCATTGTAATTGAAGGGGAAGAATATATGATTTACAACGTCTATGCACCAAACTCTCCACCTAGCACTTTTTTTCGCACCCTGACCTCATGGATTCTGAGTGATGCAGTGACGAATAAGGTGATAGGGGGAGACATGAACACGGTGTTGTCCGAGGATGAGGATCGGGTATCGGCTACAACATTAAGTGGCAGGACGACCTCCTTTTCACCCTCACACTTAGCACAACTCCAATCTGATTTACACATTTTCCATGTATGGAGGTTACAACATCCAGAAGATAGGGAATACACCTACTGTTCCCCTGTTCATGCCTCTCTTTCCCGCTTAGATTATATTTTTTGTTCCCACTCACTGCTGTCATTTGCCCACCAAGCTACCATTCAGGATCTACTCATATCCGACCATGCTCCTGTAACATTGCATTTACATAAACGTATTCCGAAGGGTAACGCGCGTGTATGGCGTTTTCCCTCCCACCTACTAGAGGATGCCCACTTTAGAGCTGCAGTCCAGGAAGCCTGGCAAGATTATGAAAGCACTAACAACACCCCAGGAATATCGCCAATGCTATATTGGGAGGCGGGTAAGGCGGGTATCTCAGGGGACGACTGATAGCGTATGTTGGAGCCAAGCGAAAACAGTCAGTAATTTCCCAGGTGACTGCAAGTCTTAGCCTACGTCAAGCCTACTCAACATTTAAGGCTAACCCCACTAAGGAACATATGTCGTCCTGGGCCAAGGCGAAGGGGGAATATGAAACTCTATTACACCGGTATGACTTATATACTAAATCAATCTGGGAGCTGAAATTCCACAAATTTGGCAACAAATGTGGTAAACTATTGGCCAATCAGGTTAGACCACTACAATGTCCTCGCCCGATCCATTCTCTTAAGAATTGCCAGGGACACAGGATTACTGACCCTAAACAAATTAATTATTTATTACACTCATATTACCAACAACTATACACTACCCACTACGCACCGAAGGATCATTCTACTTTCCACTTTGATACCATTCCACTTCCTACCCTTACCGAATCTCAGGTACAATCCCTTACTGCAGACATAACGGAACCAGAAATATTGCACACTATAGCTTCATTGGGCAACGGTAAATCTCTGGGACCAGATGGCTACACTGCAGAACTGTATAAGTTTTTGAAATCTTCGCTGACACCCACGCTACACAAAGCGTTCACACATATGTGGAGTTCAAGGTCCTATATGCCCACAGGCAAAGAAGCCTACATAAAGGTGCTTTTAAAACCACGTAAGGATCCGCAGCTACCTGACTCTTATCGACCCATTTCTTTACTCAATGTGGACTCTAAAATACTTTCCAAAATACTAGCGAATAGATTGGAGTCTATCATGCCACATCTTCTTCACCCCACTCAGGTAGGATTTACCAGGGGTAGAGCTGCAGTGATTAACATCCGGAAAGTGTTGGTAGTTCTAGAACAATGTTCTAGGGGATCAGGTGAGGAATGTGCCATGATAACGCTAGATGCTGAAAAAGCTTTTGACTATGTTAGACATGATTGGCTGTTTTTAATACTGCATAAAATGGGGTTTGAGGGCCACTTTTAACAACTTATGCATGCCATGTATGACTCCCCAGTAGCTAGAATATTATCGGGTGGCTTTCTCTCCTCCCCCATTACCTTACTTCAAGGAACCCGTCAGGGCTGCCCCTTATCCCCCCTTTTATTTAATCTGGCCATTGAGCCCCTGTCCAGATGGCTAATTTTCAAAGCAAACCTACATGGTATCAGAGTGGGAACAGAGGAAGTCCGAGCGGCTCTGTTCGCAGACGATTTACTAATCTTTACGTCAAAGGTGAGAGAGGATATACCCACACTATTGACTATTCTGGACGAATTTGGATCCCACTCAGCATACAAAATAAATGTAACTAAGAGCGAAATTCTGTCCTTAACTGCTAAGCCTTCCCTGAGCTCCCTAGAAATCAAACAATATGGCCTGCAAATGGCACACGGCCATATAACGTACCTGGGTATCAAACTGGGCATGTTGCCTTCCTCACTATATACACTGAATTATAAACCTCTCATAGAAAAACTTATAAAGGAACTGGAACTCTGGACCTTACTTCCTGTCTCATTATTTGGCAGGGCCCATGTCTTTAAAATGCTAAGCTTTCCGAAATTACTCTACCCCCTCCAAACAATTCCGCTATTACTTAAACATGCAGCTGTGAAGAATCTAGAACGCGCATACACCAAATTCCTATGGAAATCCAAACGCCCCCGTATTCCCTATCCCCAACTTCAGGTACACAAGCTAGAGGGTGGTCTGGGACTCCCTAACATTCGGGCTTATAATTTGGCGTGTCTACTACGTCACGCCTTTGATTGGTTGCTGGACACCTCTTGCTACTCCAACCTTGCCTTAGAAACTAAATTGGCCTCTCGTTGGTCGTTAAAAGCCGTACTTCATACTCGTATCAACAAATTACCTTCCTTACTGCGCACCAACACATTGATCAGAGATACAGTGGTAGCATGGCGAGAGTATAGACTAAAGACAGGATTACATCCTTACATTTCAGTACATGTTCCCATTATGAATAACCCCCACTTTGCTTTGGGCTTGAAAAATGAGGGATTCAGGAAATGGGTGAAGAAGGGGATAAAAACTGTGGCCCAACTCTTTGACCCAGTTACCCACCGTCCCCTTACTTTCACTGAGCTACAGACGAAATTCGACCTTCCACCGCATCACCAATATCAATACATGCAAGTGACCCACTATTGGCGCAGCGAGACATCCATACCTACCTTTTTTTTCCAGACCACGGCACTAGATAGAGTTTCGACCTCTACTCCTGGATCCATTGCCCAACTGTACCCCCTTTTAAACTCTTACTTTATACCTTCACCAGCTAGAACTTCCCTTCTTAAAATGGAGGAAGGATTTTCCAATGGAAGACTTTGATAGTGCCATTCTTGAGGGCTGTCACAACATTAGGAGATGTACCCCAAATGAACAGTGGCGAGAAACGCACTTTAGAATAGTACATAAGGCATACTATGCCTTTGATTTTTTTCCACAAAATACGGGCTCCCAGTCCTTACTTAACAGCGTGCCCCAAATGTTCCCAGGAAGGGGCGTCACTACTTCATTATCTCTGGGATTGCCCTCAAATAGTCACTTACTGGGATGCAGTCCTTTCCTACATGTCTGTAATACAGGATTTCCGCATACCCCGAGAACCATGGCTATGTCTCTTTAGCTACTGGAACTCCATGCCGACAAGGGGTAGACGACAACAACAGTGGATCTATGTAGCTCTATTGATAGCAAAGCGCATAATTATGCTACACTGGCTTTCCATGCAAACGCCGACCGCCCAACACTTCATAGAAGGATTGATGTCACTAATGTGGAAGGAGAGACTAGAGGCCACTCTAGACCCAGATCGATACACCACGAGCTTCTTTCAGAAATGGGAGCCATTCATACTATACCACTATACAGGATCAGAGCTGTATGTATTAATGCACCCCTTCAGACTCACTACATGGTACCTAGAAAGAAAACTAGACAAATCCCTAGGACAGCTGGAGATACCAGAGGAATATACACCTGCTCAGGGGTTACACTAATAGATAGAGAGACCATGTGTTGGTATGCGGGTCGGAAAATGTCATAGTATCTAGTGTCTATCGACTACTGTTTTACCCAGATATGAGCATTAACATATCTTGGTTGAATTACCTTGTATCACCATTGAAAGCATGAGACGTACACATGAGAATTGTTTTGTCTTTTTTATTTGTTTTATGTTATTCATCTGTTGATGGAATGAAAACTAGTAAAAGAGATGTTTAAAAAAAAAAACCTGGCATAAAATACTCGACATAAGACCTTTGAACTTTCCACCATCCCTGGGTCCTCAACACCACTCCTGGAAATCCTCAATTCTCATTAGGCTTGCACTCTCAGAGCATATAAGAATAAAACAGAACCTTCTGACCCCAACTCTCAGGTAATTCCCTAATCTCATTAAAGCATATACAAAGATCATGCTTCCCATAGTGAAGTGTCTGGTTTCTTCACAGGCAATTATTCACCTTCTACAGTATAGAACCCTTGTACCATAAAACACCATACACAGAGCCCCCTGTCCAGAAATAATGAAAAAAAAACACTCAAGATTTATTTAAAACCCATAACAACCCTAGAACAGCTAAAACCAACTTTAACCACCATAATGTCTCATTTACTATTAACTCCAATGTGTTTAACCTCTTTGCCATGGCAAAATAAATTTGCCCAGTTTTGTTTATCCTACTGCTAGTTATTATCCTGATACAGGTAACATACCTGAAGATAACATTCCACATTTGGATACAATTTTTCATGGCAGAGATTGTATCACTTTTGGGTGGACTGACCCTCAAAGTTTAAACCAGTATTTTTAAACTTTGAGGGTCAGTCCACCCAAAAGTGATATTGAATTTAATCATAGTTTCTTGCATATCTTTATCACAACAGAGATTTCCCTTCTATAAATCCCAGCTTCTAGATTCATTGAATTAATTCTGTTCACCTGGGGAGTTTTAAGTGTCCCTGCCTAGCTTTCCATATTCCAGCAATAATTACAAAATTCAACAGGGAGTATAGCAAGGTGTGGTAATGATCATAGCTGACATGAAGACCCAGGAGCTCAAGGACAGATATCTCACCACTAGAATCCCTGAGAGATATAAGAAATTGTCAGATGGTTTAACTCTCCAGTATCTACCAAAATCTGAAATAGTTTCAGGTGGACATAAACTATGTTTCTTATATCATGATTTTTACAATTTACAATGTTCTTTGACAATTTTATCATTTTTGTTTTAGGTAGGAAACCTGGGCCTTCTCTTCATGCTTCTCTTCTTTATTTATGCAGCTCTTGGAGTAGAGCTGTTTGGTAAACTTGGTGGGTATACATTCTAAACATTCAGAAATGTTATTTCATTTTCTGTATTGTCTTGTAAGTCTAAAGAGATGTTCATGCCTTGCCTTCGATCTGCAGTTTGCAATGCTGATCATCCTTGTGAGGGAATGAGCCGCCACGCCACCTTTGAAAACTTTGGGATGGCCTTCTTGACTCTCTTTCAGGTTTCTACTGGAGATAATTGGAATGGAATAATGAAGGTAAAAAGTGTGATAAGTATGTTCTTCTTGATAAAGCTCTTAATATAACAAACTGTGCAATCATTAAGACAAAACTAGTGTTCTTTTCTTTTGTTGAGTTAAACAATTACATTGATGAATACTGCTTTAATTACAATGTTTAACAACAAATTTCATAATATAATATGTACATTAATACTGTAGGTACCCCCACCTGGCTCACCACTACAACACAAACATGTCAAGTTCAAGTCTAACTTGTATTATGTTAGTGACTGTATATGCCACATTAAAACAAGAAAAAATATTAAAATGCTAAATTATTAAACAATATATGTTATTTGTGTAGAAGACTGCCCTTAGTACAATCCACAAATTCACCATTGCACTGTACGTGTGCATGTTTAGATTGTAACATCAAGCTGCTTAAACACTTACCTGTAATTTCTTCTGCCACATATGGCCTGTCCTCCTGGCTAGAAGTCAGTGAATGACTATAAAATAGGACTGACGGACCAACTTTGAGCAGTGTGGTTAAAAAGGCAGTTTACTCAAGGATTCATTGGAGGACACAGCACTCTAATCTTAAACAAATCAGTATACTATCACCTATAGGAGGCTTGGACACTATGCAAAACAAAAATGGGTCAGCTTCCTCTACTGGTTATATCTCAAAAGTTTAGTTTCGTTTAGTTTAGCTTAGTGTCCTGAGGTAAAATGTCTCTCCAGCAGTCAACACTCATGGATCACTTAACATTTACTACTTTACTGTGGTGACTGCCTCACTCTGTTCCTGACTGCATGTATGTTGTCATCCCAGACCATCAAATCTAGGAATTCACTACAGCAGTTCCAGTGCCAGAATGAACCTGCAAACACAGGTTTGCACTGAAGTCTCATATGCTGATGAGAAAAGGCCTTTTTTACTGATTGCTGCTATATCTCTGGAGGGTGCTTTCTGTGGTAGATTTTATTATTTTATATGAAAAGTACACATTTAGCTCATCCTGAAGCTCATCCTCCCCAGTAGTGCAACAGTTGTGTGCTATTACACAGCTTCAAGGACTTTTTTTAAGATGCACAGCACATCTAGGGTGAAGATAAAATTGAAATGTTATGCAAATTAAAATCACAGCAGAGAAACATATACAAACAGCTTACTTGTTGGTTAATGCATTTCAACCTACTAGGTTGGCTGACAAGTAATTCTAATTAGATGGAAAAAAAATTCTAACCTACCTGCTTCTAGCTCTACCTATAAGCCCTCTTTTGAGCCTGCAATTGTGCCTAAGGTTGGATATTTGATTTATAACTTCTACCTCAATTATGGAGTGCTTTTGTCTTAAAACTAAAGGTGTTAGTCTAGTCAGGTCTCAAGTATTGCAGGAAGTGTCCTCCTTCTTCCACTGCATCACATTCTGAAGCAAAGTGCCACCTGAATTATCAGAAACATTACCCAAAGTGCAAGATTCTAAGGTCAAATTCCCTTACCTCAATGAGTGAAGTGGTACTGCCAAAGGCTTCCTTCTGTTGCCAGAAAAAGACCAGGAATAGCTTCATCCAATCTGTAATTGAGATGAATATTTAGGGTGTATATCCTATTTTCACCTTCAAGTAAGGCAGCTATGCTGATTTCCCACACATCCAAACCTTCTGCTAAGGGTTGTCTTAATTATCATCACTTCAATTATTTGCGGTCTCTGGAAAGGAAACAGCCTGATTGATTTTTTTTTCTATTTCCATGATTTTTTCAGTCCGTATTCCTCTTACTAAGGATATTATTAAGAAGCGGGCTATTCCACCTTCGGTGGATTCTTCTTTTTCTCACCATAACAAGGTGACAGTTATTCCCACTGAGCTTTCCTCTTTCTTTTCAGGACTTAATGGATAAGAAGTTGAAATCTTTGTATATTGCTCTCCTCTGTGGCAAGCTCCCTGCTGCAGCTAGATTTTGCCTTAGTGTAACGGGCAATGACTAACTGATTCACACTGTTCTGACAGGAAATTACTTTGGAGAAATGTAACCTTTGCTGACCTGATAGACCAGATTGTGCAAAAGTGCTGTTTGGCTGGTCAAGCCCGCTCAAAAAATCTTTGATCCAACTTCCCTTTGTGAGGGGCAGACATTTTAAATCTTCTCTGAAAACGTTTTGGGAACACTACAGTTGTAAGTCCTCACTTTTTAAAAGTGCACTTTCTTTTCATGTGCACAAACACTCTTTTTTACTCAAAGGCCTCTAACCCTCCCAAGCTTTCTACCTCAGTTGGATCCAAGTAGACTTGGAGTGCCAAAATCAGTTTTTGACTCCAAACACATCTACGGCATTTGTGTACCGCAGGTGTTTTCCATGAGGTACAAAAAAAGTGATCCTCTGACTGGAGAGGATTTTCACTTGCAGTCTTCTTCTTTCCCCCAGTGATTCAAGAGGGTTTTATTTCCGCTTGTTCCTGGAGCCCAAAAAAGGCATTGTTCAGCCTCTCCTGGACCCCAAGGGCCTAAACAGCTTTGGTTATACTCACCAGTTAAACTTTGCAGCCTCCATAGATATCTGGGAGGCCTACCTTCACATCCTCATCTTTCCTGCCTACCATCATTTTCTATTCCTTGCCATAGGAAAGCACCACATTTAGGTTAGCCCTTCAGGACTACTCATTGAAGTCTGAGCACTACTGAGGACCAGAACATTTGCCCTGATCAAGTCAATATTGGCTCAGGATTTAGGAGCCAACAAGCAGTTGCCAGCTCCCAGGTCCTTGGGAGGGTTTGGTCTGGGGCTCATGGCCTTCTTCTTTAAGGCAGTTAGATTTGCTTACTTTTATACCAGGGCCCTGCAGAGGGAAATTAAGAAACCTGAAGTTACATTATTGCATTACTTTATATTTACTCTGTTTCACTCATATAGAGATCAAAGCGGTGACCTTTGATTTGCATGAAATGTCAGTTAAACCAAACTTAGAAGTTGAAAAGCAATTTTTTAAATAAAATGTAATCCCTTACTAAAACTTAGTTATCCCTAATCGGCCCTCCCCACTTTCCCTGGGGGTAGGAGGGGAAAAAGAAGTGCCTTTATTTAATTTGTTAATAACTTTGCAGTACTTTGTACCAAAAATTTAATTTTATTGTCATTATATAAACAGGACAATTTTTGTAATCTATAGTAATACTTAAAAAAAACAAAAAAACTTAACACTGATCAAAATAGAGAAAAGAGGTATACAGGTGCGGTAGCTGAAGTTATGAAACATTGTACATATAAATAAGGAGAAAACAGTTTAACTCATTAATATATTGTTACTTGTACTTGTAATACCTTGATGTAGACCAAGAAATGTTACTGTTATTTTCTGCCAACAGGACACACTACGTGACTGCACCAGTGATGACCGCAGCTGCTTGAGCAACCTGCAGTTCATCTCACCTCTTTACTTTGTCAGTTTTGTGCTCACAGCCCAGTTTGTACTAATAAATGTAGTGGTTGCTGTATTAATGAAGCACCTGGATGACAGCAATAAAGAAGCACAGGAGGATGCAGAGCTGGATGCTGAGATTGAGTTGGAGTTAGCTCACGGACTTTGTTCTCAGGCATCACCTGTGTCTGCTTTAGATAATGGGGGACGTGGAGGAAGACCAGCCACAGAAGGGCATCGTAGTTTAAGATGTTTTTCTCCAGCCCAGGTAATTAGAAAGCATTATATATATATAGCCTTAATACCATATATGTTGTGTTTTACTTGCCTCATCCTCATTCTTTGTGGCCCTGTGGCACATTATCCACTAGTAATGAATGCTAGCCTGTTGATGAATGCTCAGTGAGTGCAAACTTTATTAATAATAATAATAATAATATTATTAAAAAAGTGAAGTTACAGTTATGCTTTCCTTGTAGATTTTTATTTTTCCTCTGAGGATAATGCCTAAAACAGAGTTTTGTTTGGCCACTGGGAGGATCCTGCCTCAGTAGCAATTCCTTTCTGTCTATTCAACCATGAGCTGCTCTTACACCCCCTGTCACTCTTCGATCCAGTGCCCAATAACATTGTGTCACCTTAACCGCTCCACACCGAAACCACCCAGCTACATTTCCTTCTCTCCCGTCCAGTACTGTATGTTATTCCTGATCCTTGGAGAACTACTTCTGTGCATTAATACAAAGGCAAACGGGGCATATGATGGCATGCAATGGGGGCCCCATGATTCCTTATTACAGCCCTTAGGGGAGACATCAGGGGTCTAACAGATCCCTGAAGTCTTTAAAAAGAGTACCTGTAATAAAAAAATGACTCTACTGTTTTACCCTCTGCACTCTTCTATAAACTGCTTCATGTCAGGTCAGACCCTCTGCACTCCTCCCCTGCACATACTGCCCCATGTCTGACCTTCTGCTCTCCTCTCTTGAACATGCCCTCCACACTTTTTCTTTTTTAAATCAAAAGTTTTTATTGAGTTTCAGCATAACACGATTTCGTAGGTAGCGTTAGCATATGGTTACAGCATACATCGTAGAAATCGTTGACTTACATAACAGCACTAGAATAGGCAGAGCTCGATTGTCAGACACAGTGGCAGAAATTGCTAGTGGAGTAGGTTCGCTGACCTATGAGATCAAGTTCATGTTAAGCTCCACTTGAGTACGAAGGGGTCAAACAAAATTACAGGGTTATGAGAAGGGAGCTGTACTTTAGTGAGTCGCTGCAATGCAAGACAACCACTTGTGCTGAGGGAGAAAATAACATGCTGCAAACAATAAAAGTCGTGCCCAAGAAGGGCAAATAGTAGAAAGTAATAAGACGAGGGAAAGGAGAAAGAGTGGGAGGGGATAGGGAAGATAGAAAGAGGGAAAGAAGGCAAAGCCTACCAGGTTCAGTGAGTTCCCGGGTATTGGCGGGAGACGTCCATTATCGAAGTCAGTGGGTTAAAGTGGTAGGAGGCCGCTGTCAAATGAATGTGACTGGAGATGTTGGAGCCATGGGTGCAACGTCCATTCAAAACGTGCAACTCTATCTTCCAGCCTGGCAGTGATTCGTTCATTAATAAAGGTCCAGTGGAGTCGGCATTTTACTACTGCAATGGGGATTACGGTAGATTTCCAGGTTTTTGCCAATGTTTGCTTGGCTGCCGTGAGACCGTGCACCAGAAACCTATGTTGGATTAGAGTCATGTTTTCTGGAGGAAGGTTGAGCAACACCACCTTCGGGTCAAACTGCAGTGTTTTACCTAATAGATTATCAAGGAAATCCAGCGCACGGTGCCAAAAAGCCTGTGCTGCCAGACAGGACCACCAGACGTGTATATAGGACCCCACTTCTCCACAATCTCTGAAGCACTCCCCCATATGTCCCGGAATGAATGCCATAAGCAACTTGGGACAAGGTACCAGTGGTACAGCAGTTTGTAGTTGGTCTTCAGTGCATGCACCCTCTAAGTGCTGGATTTGGTCGTTTCCCAGATGGATTGTCAGTCGGCTTCAGCAATGGTGCAACCAAGGTCCCTTTCCCAGGAAGATATATAAGTATGGGAATTAGTGGTTAAGCTAGATATTAAGAGTTCGTACATAGAGGAGATTAGACCAGGAGCATAAGAGTTGGTGTGACAGGCCCTTCCAAAAAAAACATTCCAACAATTGATCCTCTTATCAGCTCCCCCGCTATAGAACTTTTTCCGCTATCTCCAGTTTAAGCACGTCTTGTCTTCCCAGGTCCCCAAGTTTCATACTGGTCCATGTTCTCCACAATCTCTGAAGCACTCCCCCATATGTCCCGGAATGAATGCCATAAGCAACTTGGGACAAGGTACCAGTGGTACAGCAGTTTGTAGTTGGTCTTCAGTGCATGCACCCTCTAAGTGCTGGATTTGGTCGTTTCCCAGATGGATTGTCAGTCGGCTTCAGCAATGGTGCAACCAAGGTCCCTTTCCCAGGAAGATATATAAGTATGCGAATTAGTGGTTAAGCTAGATATAAAGAGTTCGTACATAGAGGAGATTAGACCAGGAGCGTAAGAGTTGATGTGACAGGCCCTTCCAAAAGGGACCAGTATGAAACTTGGGGACCTGGGAAGACAAGAAGTGCTTAAACTGGAGATAGCGGAAAAAGTTCTATAGCGGGGGAGCTGATAAGAGGATCAAATCGGAGGTCGCCTTGGAGACTTGGCCTGACCCCCAACTGCCGGAGCTCGCCCGCATACCGAGCCGTGAACAGTGGCAACTGATCACCCCCAAACCACGTAGGGATCGGCGGTCTACCTCCAGGCCCACTCCACGTTGATGTGCGATGCATAGTTACATAGTATTTGAGGTTGAATAAAAGCATGTGGATCAAGTCCTAGACTTGGCTCTGCCGCTATGTTGCCGCACCGCCTCGGCGCAGTACCCTGCTCATTCCTGCTTATCTGACTTGAGGTCCCTGTTTAAGACGGTTTGTGTTTACAGCACTGAGGCTTTAGTCCCATGTGTACGCTATTGTTTAGTTACACGCTTCTGCCTGCTAACATTATGAGATGGAGCTGCAGCTCATATCAGATGTGAACACTAATGTTCTCTTAGTTTTGCAATGCTCAAGAGGTTTGGGAGACTTCGTACCCCATAGGAACATGAGTTTTGTGTTGCCTTGTTATAAGGTTCAGTGTTACATGGCCTATGGTTCGCATCTCCTCAAGTTATCACTTTTGTTTTCTCATGATTGAAGGTTTTACCATATTGTGTTATCATATTTTTCATTCATCCGCTGGTCTAGGGGGCTCCCAGACCATGTTGATTTCCTTGCCCCCATTAGATGGTGCTCCCCCGGTTTCTATATGGAGCTGGAGGACCACGCGTGTGGCTTTGTTCCCATACTGAAATGTTAACCTCTCGCTGAGGTCCTCTCCGTCAGTATGTGTTGGTTCTGTCTACTTTCCTTACTATCCTCCTTTCTTCTGCTCTTTGCTTCTCCTCTCCCTTTTCTCACTTTCTTATTTCTTCAGGGTCCGTCCATTGATCTTTTTACTCGTTTTGTTCCCTAGATACTCATGGCGTTAGTGAATATGTGCTCCCTGAATATTAAGGGACTCAACAATCCTAGAAAGCGATCCCAAGTATTGTATTACATGCATAAACGTAAGGTCCAGATTTTATTCTTACAGGAGACGCATTTTCAGTCCTCGGTGGCACCTAAACTACCTACCAGACATTGTGCTTTATGGCACACTAGTAATAATCCACTCAAGAAATCTAAGGGCGTAGCTGTGGGGTTCCACTCTTCTCTCCCAGTGTCGGTGACTAAAGTACTGTCAGATCCTGAGGGTAGATATCTTTTTTTACAATGCTTAATATACCAGAAGCCTTTTACTCTGGCCAACATTTATATGCCTAATACGGGACAAAAACGGGCCTTTATGTCTATCATGTCCAAATTAGAAGATTTCATGGTGGGCCACACTATTGTCGGGGGGGATTTCAATTTTGTCATTGATCCGACATTGGACTCCTCCGTGGGAAAAACGCACGTCTCACTGCCCTCTCTGAATGTAGTTCATAAACGCCTACGTGCGTTACAATTGATTGACATATGGCGCACGTTGCACCCGACGGTAAAGGATTACACATTCTATTCAGCCCCCCATGCCACATACAGCAGAATAGACAATTTTTTCACATCACACTCCTTGCTCAGCTGGCGACCGAGCACTTCCATTGGACCACAAATTTGGTCAGACCACTTTCCAGTTTTCCTGAGCTTTGCGATACCGGGCACATCCGAGGGTTCTACCTCTGAGGGATCCATTCATTCTAGAGGCGCTCCAGACAGCAATGAGGGAATTCCGGGAACACCACTCATTAGACGAAACTTCACCCCCCGTACAGTGGGAGGCGCTTAAATGCATCTTACGTGGCATACTAATCCAAAATGGCGCTAGACTAAAGAGGGACTAAAGAGGGAAAGAAACAAACGCATTTCCACGCTTCTGACTAACTTGGCAGATGCTGAATTGAAACACAAATCGACACCTTCCCAGTCTCTGTATCAGGAAATTGTCACTTGCCGGGCGGAACTTCACTCTTTGTTAGATCTGGCCTACTTGCGTCACAGGGATCTGACCCTGCGATACTTCCATGAATATGGCAATAAGAGTAGTAAACTACTGGCCCACTCCATTCAAGCGAAACGACTTTGAACTTCTGTGTCCACAATTAACTGTCCCGCCAGGGAAAGCTTTGCTCTTCCGAAGATATAGCCCATGCTTTTCATAACTATTATTCTTCTCTATATAATTTGAAGTCTACCCCCTCTCAAGAGGAAGCGAGATGTCTTACTGACGATAGTAGGGCTTATTTTCGGAAGACTAACCTCCCTCGCTTCTCCGCGACTGCGATTCAGTCCCTCGCAGCACCATTCAGTGCTACAGAAATCTCAGGCACCATAAAATCTCCTACCATCTGGGGAAGAGTCCAGGCCCAGATGGCTATACTAGTCTCTTTTACAAGATTCTTCTTGATTCCTTGCTCCCCCTGCTGGAAACTACATATAACTCAATCTCCGACTCAAGTCCCTTTACAGGCCAATCTCAAGAGGCACACATAACAGTATTACCCAAGGAGGGGAAGGACCCATCCTCTTGTGCCAGCTACCGACCCATATCCTTAATTAATTTGGACCTAAAAATTTATGCTAAAATTATCGCCAATAGATTGAAAATCCACATCCCATCTTTGATTCACTTAGATCAGGTAGCCTTTGTGCCTGCTAGGGAAGCCCGAGACAATACCTCTAAATCCCTTACTCTTATGGCCTACGCCCGCTCCCGTAATATTCCGCTATGTTTGTTGTCTGTAGACGCAGAGAAGGCCTTCGATCGCCTCAGTTGGACTTTTCTGTCGGCCACCCTACAGCAAATTGGCATTCCCCCTAATCTTCTTAGTAAAAGTTTAGCCCTTTATAATACTCCCACGGCCAGAGTCAAGATCAATAGCGTTTTGTCTGATCCAATCAATATCCGGAGCGGCACCAGACAGGGTTGCCCGCTCTCCCCCTACCTTTATATTTTGGCAATGGAACACCTGGCGGGCGCCTTGCGTGCCAACCCTGATATTTGTGGTATAAAGGTGGGAGGTAACGATTTTAAATTAAGTCTATATGCAGACGATCTGCTTCTCTACATTACTAACCCCCAAATCGCCTTCCCTTCCCTAATAAAAGAATTTAAAAAAAATTAATCCTTGAGCAACTTCAAGGTTAATATGAACAAAACGGAAGCACTAGATGTTTCCCTTCCTCCACAACTTCATATGTCACTGAGACGGTCCTTTCCCTTCTCATGGGCGGGTGGGGGACTGAAATATTTGGGGGTCATGCTCTCGCCGCACCATGAACGGCTGTATGAGTTGAACTACAAACCTTTGCTGCACAATATCCACAATAAACTTAGGGAGTGGTCCAGACTTAGCCATACGTGGTTTGGCCGAGTGGCCCTTTTTAAGATGGACATTTTGCCCAGGCTACTTTATGTCTTTCAAACGGTCCCTATAATGGTACCGAGCCTATTTTTTCGTTCACTTCGATCCCCGCTTTTACGGTTCATATGGTTTGGCTCTTCAGCTCATCTCAGGTACACGGTTCTGGTGCGGCGAAAGCAAAATGGGGGGGTGGGTCTTCCTCACATTGAACTATATTACAAAGCTGTCCTACTTACAAGACTACTTGACTCGATCTTTCACACACAACACAAATTATGGGTACAGCTAGAAGCGTCTATCTCACCCCTTCCCCCCACGTCCATGCCATGGATTGCACCTGCGTGTTGTCCCGCACTAGCGTCCCTTCCCTGTTGCTTGCCCCCTCTACTTAGAGCGTGGGACTTACTCCTTAAGAGAACAGGGTTTTCCTCTCGCCCTGGGCCTCTAACACCCATCATGGGAAATTTTCCCCCTGCTCGAGGGCCCAGTTCCTTGGATGGCACAGCTCTAACTTTACCCCATTTTGCTCAGCTCTCACGGTAGGAGGCCTACGGACCCTGTCCTCGCTCATGGATACGCATGAATAGGTACCTGGCCACTGGTTGGAATATCTCCAACTCAGAGACTTTTATTCCATTCTCGCTAGAAGAGGAGATCTACACAGAGACCTATCCCCATTTGAGCGTTTATGTGTGGACACTGCACCACCAAATAGGACACTATCGACTATCTATGACCTTCTGCTGCAACACCTTTTCTCTGACACCCCTAGGTACTTTGTAGAATGGGCTAAGGACCTGTCATGTACTTTTTCTACTTCAGACATTAATAAATCGCTTGCCTTCACACACAAAATATCAGTTGCCAGTAAAGCTCAGGAACGCAATTTTAAAATTCTATTCAGGTGGTACTATTGTCCAACCCCACTCTGAGCTATATACCCTCAGACCTCTGACCAGTGCTGGAGGTGCTCCTTACACCCTGGCTCCATGTTGCACGTATGGTGGAGTTGCGATGGGTTGGCCACATTTTGGGCCTCCATCTTCTCCACATATGAGAAAATCACGGGCAGAAGAGGCCTTCTCTCTATGTTTCCAGAATCATACAAGTCAGTCAAAAGAGGCTTACTCCGCTTCTTTGTTCTGGCTTGTGGGCAGTTATACCGAGGCACTGGAAATCCGCTATTAATCCTAACCTGAAGGAATGGATCGAAGAGATGCAGTCCATATGTAGGACTGAGGAGCTCACAGCCCAGCTTTACGATCGCTATTCCCAATTTTATGGAGTCTGGAGTGTATGGATACACTTCTGCACCACTGCTACGTTTCGTACATTACTTGACACCTGAGAGACCTGAGAGACCTGGACCACCTGAGAGAAGGGCCTAGGAGTATTGATAGACTATTGTGAATGGACGGACCCTCTTCCTGTGTCTGCTTTTGTATATGTACTATACTTGGCTAGATCTCTGGCCTCCCTGTTTCCTCTTCTCATGACCTGTACTTACCTTTTTCTCCTCAAACTTTGCTTTCTTCTCTCTCCTGCTACCCTTTTCTTAAATACAGTCTATGCACTAGATGGTACGGAGTATGATTCACACATTACGACTCCCTCTGTGGCTCCTTAGCAGAGTGCCTTGGATTAGGAGAATGCTGTTAAATTAAACTGGGCCAGGATATATCTGTTAGACAGACGGCCATGATAGACATGGTATATTCTCTCAAGTAGGGAGTTGTTATTAAGGCCTTTCAACTACGTACTTACATAATGTGCCACACTATCACATCCTTGTGCAGATGATGTATTGTGATGTATTGTTTTGTATTGTCTGTCTAACTGCTCTTGTGTGAAATTATCTTTAATAAAAACATATTCTTTAAAAACAAATACTTAAAGATTATTCACAATATCCTTGCCTGTTCTGGAATGGGCACACTTTTGCTAGTCTGCATAAAATGTAGAATGATTAGTAACTGGCCTACATGTCATAGTTGATATTTGGAAACAGAAGCATCATTTTGTTATTTTCAGGCTTTTTATAGTAAGAAGAGCACTCAGTCCATAATCAGACCATCCGTTCAATCAACAAACCATTGATATCATTACAAGTATCTATTATTATTTTTTTTTAGGAGAACTTGTGGCTTGACAGTGTTTCATTGATAATTAAAGACACATTCGAAGGGGAATTGATGATAATTGACAATTTATCTGGATCGGTTTTCCATCACTATTCTTCACCAGCAGTGTGTGAAAAATGTAACCACGACAAGCATGAGGTAAAGCAAGTTCTTAAATAATCATTTTAAGGGCACATTTTCCATGGATCATTAAAAATATGGGATGTAACAATATCCATGTTGAAAATCAACTCAGATAGTTTGTGAGTTGTTGCTAATGTTAACCAAATAAGGACTTCATACTGATATTAGATGACCCATGGCAAATAAGCCAGAATGCAATGTAGTGCACAGATGAACAGAAACCAATCAGAATTTATTCTTCCATGATCTCATTTTAGTATACTGAAATCAAATTACTTGGTTTGTGTTACTTCCCTCTGAAAGGCAGTTAACAGAATAATTATGCATTAACAGATTACAGTTCTACTCCAGTGTCTTTTGGTTTTCCAGAGATAAGAAGGAGATATACTTGAAAGAAGAAACAGTGAAGCTTTCCTTGTATATTCACTGGGGTTGACCCCTTTGACTTGGGTAACAACAATACAAAGAGCAAGCTTTCAGATCTTCCCTGTTATACATTAAAAACATCAGGATTGTCCCAATCATATGTACATATACATGTACAATATAGAACATGTTATTCCTTGCACAAAAAATGTACTAGGACTTCGAGCCCAGTTTTCCAATACTAGTGTCTTCTGAAAACTCATTAATGCCATTTCCACTGCACAGTTTCTCCATGGCAGTCTCTGCCATAGTGGAGTTACATGCCCAAGCACAAATTAGGTGTCAGATGTCATTTCATGTTATGCTGGATTAATGACAATGCAAATCCCCTATTTTTCTCATTCATTGAGGGAAACAGGATTCCTATAGGAGGATTTGGACACTGACAGACACATAAACAGTGGCCACCTTGATATAACCCCTTCCACTCTCAGCATGCCTCTGTTTTTTGCTAGTGTCCTAGCAGGATCAACGTTGTTTTTGTACTGAGAAAAGCTTTACCATTTTTTGCAGCAATATTTTTCCTATGTTCAAGATTTTTTTTTTTACACCTGAATTGTTACCCTCAGCTTGAGTCTTCCTGTCATGATCTAGGATCAGGCTCTGAGTCCAGTAGCTGAAACAGGCACGTTTGTAGACTACACAAGCCGGGTTCCGTATACAAGGAGATGGTAGAAGTCTAGAAGCAGGCAGAAGCGTTGTCAGTGATCAATCCGAAGTCAGAAGCCAAAGGTTTCAAGAACCAAGTGGAGAGAATTAAGCGTAGTCAAGGAATCAGCAGCCAAGGTTCGTTACACAGGTAGTGCTGCAGCCGGGGGGGCGGAGGAGGGGGCTGTCATCCAGGATGGCCAAGCACTAAGAGAGAGCCGCTAGGCCAGGATCTGACAGCCGGCTGCTTTGTCTCTTTCTCCTCACTGCTTGGCCGTCCAGAGGTTACAGCGCACCCCCTCCCCCGCGCGCAACGGCTTGCCGGCTTCAGCGCTCCCTCCTCTGCCCGCCCGCTGGCTTTAGCGCTTAGGATGGCAGAGCGGAGGGTCTGTAAATATCTGTGATATTTACCGATCCTCTTTTTGCACCGCAAACACTGTAGTGATCAGCTGATCCCTCCAGTGTTTGTAAATAACTGGGGACACTTTACATCACTTCCTTTTCATTCATGAGCTTCTCAATGAGTAGTAGCACTCAGTACAGAGGCGCCAAACCAATTATAACTGGATGATAGTAAATATTTTACTCTCACCAGTTTCTGAATGAATGGGTATCCTCTGTATTGAGTGCTTTCCATTCATTTAGAACAGATGCTGCAGACAAAGAGATTGTGACCTCAATTTCTTTTTCTATTTCAAAAGGGAAATGTTTAGACCCCTGATATTTCCCCGAAGCCCCTTCCAACAGTAAAAGTAAATAAAAATAAAAGTATAATAAACAGCACACACACACACATTATTAGACATGTGCAAAGACTAAATTCATTTTGGACAAAATGAACGGAAACTGAAAATGTTTTCATTCGTTTCGTCAAACGAAACAAATTAATATGCTATTTTGGATTTGGCCACCAGCGTATTCTGTGCATGCTCCATCCTTGGGGCGGCGTGCATGACATCACATGACACCACATGCGCGGCGTCAGGTAACATTACACGTCTGGGGGGGGGGGCACAATTTTCTGTTCTTGCCCCGGACGCAAAATGCGCTCGCTATGGCTCTGCTCAGGTTGCTCAGCAAATAGAACCACTGCCAGATACAGCAGAGGCCTTGTGTTTAGATCCAGATCCTGACACTTCCTTGGCTTAGATGTTGCCCCTTCCTTGGCTTCCTTGGAATTCCTTAATGGGTGATAATGCTTCCAAGGAGTCACAGATTTCTTACAGTACCCCCAGGCTTAGAGAGACAATTTTGGCTCTCATTGATTTGGCTCTCTTTACAACTGTAAGATCAGCCTGCTGTTTCTACTTGTAATGCATACTGTCTAGGATTCCGTAGAGGCCCTAAGGCTAAGATCTTCCTGATGCACCAATTAGTTTCAGATATCCTGTGTGGAGACTGGGAGACTCCTGATAAGCTGTTCACACCTCCCAAACAGTTGTCATCATTATACCCATTTAAGGCGTCTTTTCCTCAGAAGTCGGCTATTCCCACTGTAGATCCAGGCATCTTAATAAAGCTCTAATGATCCCCGTAGAGGATACGCCTGTTTTTAAGGATATCATTAATAAATGGTAGATTCTTTCCAAAGATTCTTTCTTTCTGGAGATTCTTTACAAAGGGCCACCCCTTGACTTTCCAAAGTAATGGAACATTTGTTAGCCTTTGTTAACACTTAGACAGGCAGCATTTCAGATGCCTAGGTAAGGGAGGGGGTTTTCAGAGTCTACAAGTTCTACCAAAAACAGCACACACACACACATTATTAGACATGTGCAAAGACTAAATTCATTTTGGACAAAATGAACGGAAACTGAAAATGTTTTCATTCGTTTCGTCAAACGAAACAAATTAATATGCTATTTTGGATTTGGCCACCAGCGTATTCTGTGCATGCTCCATCCTTGGGGCGGCGTGCATGACATCACATGACACCACATGCGCGGCGTCAGGTAACATTACACGTCTGGGGGGGGGGGCACAATTTTCTGTTCTTGCCTCGGACGCAAAATGCGCTCGCTATGGCTCTGCTCAGGTTGCTCAGCAAATAGAACCACTGCCAGATACAGCAGAGGCCTTGTGTTTAGATCCAGATCCTGACACTTCCTTGGCTTAGATGTTGCCCCTTCCTTGGCTTCCTTGGAATTCCTTAATGGGTGATAATGCTTCCAAGGAGTCACAGATTTCTTACAGTACCCCCAGGCTTAGAGAGACAATTTTGGCTCTCATTGATTTGGCTCTCTTTACAACTGTAAGATCAGCCTGCTGTTTCTACTTGTAATGCATACTGTCTAGGATTCCGTAGAGGCCCTAAGGCTAAGATCTTCCTGATGCACCAATTAGTTTCAGATATCCTGTGTGGAGACTGGGAGACTCCTGATAAGCTGTTCACACCTCCCAAACAGTTGTCATCATTATACCCATTTAAGGCGTCTTTTCCTCAGAAGTCGGCTATTCCCACTGTAGATCCAGGCATCTTAATAAAGCTCTAATGATCCCCGTAGAGGATACGCCTGTTTTTAAGGATATCATTAATAAATGGTAGATTCTTTCCAAAGATTCTTTCTTTCTGGAGATTCTTTACAAAGGGCCACCCCTTGACTTTCCAAAGTAATGGAACATTTGTTAGCCTTTGTTAACACTTAGACAGGCAGCATTTCAGATGCCTAGGTAAGGGAGGGGGTTTTCAGAGTCTACAAGTTCTACCAACAAAGTGACTGTGTCAGCATCTCCACTGCTTGTCATTTGAATCACCCCAGTTCCTAATGCAGAAAGGTTTCATGGGTTTTTCTTCAACCCTTTCACTATCCCCAAGCCAAAAGTGGGCATCTGCTCCATTTTGGACCTCAAGGCCCTAAATGTCTTTATTCAGGTCCAAAAGTACTTGATGGAATCCACCACATCAGTCATAGCCTTGCTTTGTCAGGTCTGTCGGGTCTGAGTACCACATCCACCAAAGCCAATCTGGAACTATGAGTATCACTGGAATCTCATCAGAAATTTCTGAATTGAGAAAGCTGGTTGGATGACCAGTGAAACATCTTCAAGAAAAATACAGAAAGTCCAGTTGCCTTGACTTATTTTTTACAGCTATACCATGTGACCTTGATGAATGAGAACCTTCACAGACATATTGCTATAGAGAATCGGATCTCACAGGCCCCCCAACCCGCCTGGCATTCTCTGCACTAAAGTAGCTAACACTCTAATGTCCCCCGCACAGTCACACACTATTATTATACATTTATAAAGCTCTGACATATTCCGCAGTGCTATACAGATAAGTCACATCAGTCTCTGTACAGAGGAGCTTACACTCTAATGCAGAATACCAGGCCTCCTTGTCCTCGGGGCCCGACTGGACAACCTCCTCATCCTCGGCGCTCGACAAGGTCTCCTTGTCATCTTCGTCGCCCGACTGGAGCTTCGGCGACGCATCCCGCCTCCTCTGTCAGTGTCTCTGTCCCCTGCCTCTTCCATCTCGGGGGCCACGCGACAAATTTTTTTCTCTCATGGGGGCCGTCTGCCACATTTCATACTTTGAAATAAAATGTAACTATATCCAGTTTAAGGCCCCGTTCACACTGAGCGATTTATCGCGCGGCAATTCCCGCGATATCGCGGCTATTTACAGTGCGATATCGCTCTCCAATGCAATCCAATGGGGCTCTGTCTGTAGCTGTCGCGGGTCGTGCGTCGCTACAGCAGGACCATTTTTGGAGCGGATTTTGCCGCGAATCTAGCTTGCTCAATGCAAGCGAAACGCGCGACAAACGCGCGATTTGCGAATCGCTCAATGTGAATGGGGCCTAAAGGAGAACTATGAGGCAAGTGCTTTTTGTGACGGACCTAGGACTGTAGATTCATTTCCCCGGAGAACTTTGTGTGCTGGGGGTGTTTTACAGTTTACTATTTTATCTGGGGAGAGCCGGTCACTATGT